TATATTATACTATATATTATATATATATATATATATATATATATTGTGTACGTATTCGTACATCCGCATAAATTTTTATAGAGCTCAATATGTCAATCTCTGACAGAGCTATTGAGAGACCGCGATTATGTGGGCTCTCTGGAGAGTGTATCGTCCTCCCCGTTACTATCTGCCGCACTCCGCCTGGTGACTCGATTGATCGACGTATTGATGGTAGATGACACGCGGTATTACTGCCTGTCAAGTGGGATGATGTGGTGAATGTACAATCCTGATAGGAACTTGAAGAATTGATCTATTGAACTTCATATGTACAAACCCTTGCTAAGTAGCCTGACTCTGCAGAGTGGTGCTTAGGGGATATCGATAGAATCTATTGACAAAGGTGTGGTGTATTTCGGTACTTTGTGTGAAAACATCGGTATTGAGTAGGGCGTACTGTATGTCTCGTGATGATTCTTGAGTGCGTGCGGGTTCATCGAGATTTGTATTGCTTCCAGATGAGGCTACTTCCCTTATTCGGCTGAGATGGTAAACGGGCGATGATGTTTGAGTGCATGCAAGTCTCATTGTCTACTATAGCACCGGCGGCATTATATACAAAGAGCGGTGGTGCATGTAGGACGTTAATTTCGGCGAACTAAGCGAATCCTTAATTGCTCGCGTGTGCATGAGTGAAGTTCTGAAATAAGCTGAGTTCTAAACGTATTGTGCATTCGTTCGTTCGTGCGTTCGTGCGAATGCAACTGTCGTTGTGATTATCGATGGCGATTCATGGGCATGCAGATCAGAGAAGACCACCATATCGTTTCAGATAGACCGGTCGAGCCTACATGGCAGTTAAGGATTGGCGTGTGGACACATTGTATGTAGTGGTGTCGGCCACTATCAATAATAAACCTATAAGATGCTGGACGCAACGGAGTAATAGTTACATTCGTGGTATCCAATACTCAGTGCTGAGGCTTGTACACGACCGATGTCGGAGGAGCCGTACAACGAAACTCCAGAGAAGGTAATGTACGGGCACCGTGTAGAGCGTGGTCACGATACATCGGGTGCTTTCTTGCACATATACAGTTACAATCTAGTGGAGACCTCCACGAGGAATAGCTATACAAGACAACGCACACGAAATAGATTTGAGCATACACTCAAATATAGTCTAGCTTGAGTCCGTCTAGGTGAGATCGGATGTGAGTACAGTGCTTCGATCTGCGATCGCGTGTTTAAAGGTCACTACTATTATACTGTACTTATCTTACTTTTGATAAGTGTGGGTAGAGTGCAACGGCAGCAAAGTGTGTACCCGATGCGCTGTCTATACCCGATTCAACTATTTTGACTTAGTGTGTACGTCTTGTACTCGCAATCGACACCTGCCTGCGATCGTGAATATACATGAACGCCCATCAATACTGCGATTGGGTACAGAGCCTACCGTTTAAAATACTGATTGAATACTGATTGTCAGTGATTTCGAGTAGATCTCGAAAGAAGTACTAAATCGCACCGTTCAACATCATGCACTGTTCTACAGACACATGTACTATCATGAAAGCACTCGACAACACCACGACAAGTCATATTGTTTTGTTAACGGTCGCACACAAATTCTGAATACACACACCATCACACAAAAACAAACGCACAAGACATACATGTCGATCTTTCGGCAATACACATGATACACATAAGTATATTCATCGTTCCATACTGACTTTACTTAGTGGCAGCCTAGGAAGTCACAACGAGCGCAACAATCAAGTGCCCACTACTCAATAATATAGCATGACACTCATCCAGGTGTGGCTGTGGCTGATAGAGGTTGCTGAACGGATCATTATGGCTCACCCTCAACTTCACGTGGCCGTGGTGCGGCAGATATGCGACACCGTTGAAGCCACTGGCGAAGATCTGCGGGAAGCTGTGACAACTGATGATCAAGCAGGTAGTACATACAGATATGTATAGATACATGTGATGGCGCTACTTTTACAACTACTTCTGTTTGTCCCTACAGTACACGAGATGGATTGCTTTCATGTGGCTTTTGAAGCGAATGTGAAATTGCGGTTTGTATATACCAGTAATATAATCTCTCTAAGATACTATCGATATTGAAAGTGATGCCCATATCAGCTACGAGTAGTCTATATATATATATATATAGTGTGTGTGTGTGTGTGTGTGTGTGTGTGTGTGTGTGTGTGTGTGTGTGTGTGT